CCCGAGGGGTGAAGTTACGGCACTGTTTCATGCACTTTAATCGTAAAAAAAGGGAAATGGGTCGATCTCTATGTCATGATTTCAAATCGTGTCAATAAATTATTCAATATACATCAGATAAATATATGTAAAATAACCCAATAAAATCATTGCAGATCAAATGAATGACAGGTGTATACATAGAATCATTAATACACATCATTTGGGTATCTCTCTATATAACATATCTGTCTCTATATGATATAAGTATATCTGATATACAAGCGTCAACTAAAATGTGCAGAAATGTGGCAATTAAATTTTGAGAATTTTCTAATTAGTATTTAAAACTAAGTTTTTTCTCTCTGTTTCATAATTTCTAAGTAATTACAAAAGACTGTCTTTTGGAAAATCAATATGAGCGCACGTAACCGTTCAAAATAATTTATGCATAAAACTTATTTGTAAGCATATAAATATCATTAGAAATGATTAATGAAGCTATTTAGTTTTTTGAATTGTTAATGTTAAGAATAGTTAGTGTTGCATAGGTTTGAAATAGGAGAATACAACTCTTTATTAATACTTAACTATAGTACTCAAACACGAAGTGTTTTAAAACATACGCTGGTTTCAAATGAAAAAGATTACTTCTAATGGTGTCATCCAGTAAAAATTGTGAGAAAATTTTTTTCCTTCTAAGTAAATAAAATTTACATTTTTTCTTTAAGTCACAATTCATTAAAATGGTTTTAATTTTTTTTATTGGAAAAAAAAAGAGACAAAATATTAAAAAAATATTTTTTTTTTTCAAATTAAGATTTGTAAAATAATTTTTTTTTATGATGAAGAGAAGAGAAATTATTCTGTAATTAAATTTTCAAACCGAAAGATTTAACTATTTAAAAACTTTGTCGTAACTGTACTTAAAACCATATTATATAAATAATTATTGCAAATAATTTATTATAAATAATAGAAGTTTTATCAGACATTCAAACAGGTTCCGATAATTTTAATCAAGCTTTTTTAAACGGTGATTTTTTTTCCCCTATGCTTCTCACTGAATATATTAATAAAGCAAGCAAATTTATTGCATATATGAGCAGACCGAAATTTTCGATTGCAACCTATAATTATACAAAAAATGCCGGTTTGTTTCTGGTGCTGCCCTCTCGTTACTATTATATAAACTTAAAAAAATGCATGGTATAGAAAAATTTCTTTTAATGCGACTAGTATGTTAAAATTTTTTGGAAGACTGTATCCATATTGATAGTAAAGAATTCTTTTCTAAATAAGTGTCAGCTTCTTGCCAATATAAAAATGTAAATTAAACCTTCATGATCAACAAACTGATTCATTCGTTCAACTGAAGATACTGTTAAATTTTAAAAGGCCTGATTTACTAATTCAAATCATTGTAATATTTGTTACTATATTTCCCCCCCCCCCGAAGTATAGAGAAAGGAAAAGACTATTTTAATAAAAATTTGCCCTCACTTAAAATAGATTATATACAGTATGTTAGAATTTACATATTAACTCTTGTGTATGCATCAATGCTAAGCAAAGTAGCGATATCAAAAATATTTTTATTAATATATATTATCAGGGGTCTTTCATTGATTGCTAATCCCCGGTCTATCAAAATGTATATATTTTGTCGTAGAGCAACCGAGAAATTATTTAATTAAATTATTCTAAACTATGCCAATTTTTCTCTTCAATCTCAAAATAAAACAATTTTAGATCAAATAAATTTCATACCTAAAAAACTTATTTCACTTTCATCACAAATAATTCAATATTTTTAACTAGAACAATTTAAAAAAAAAAAAAGGTTTCCTTTTCTCTATACACCTAACACTGAAACCAATGTAACTATAAAGATTTTAATCAGTAATTTTATTCTTTGAAAATTTGATCTAAGAATCATTTACTTTACAATTCTGAATTTGAAGAAAATCTTTACTAAAAAAAATTCGTATTTTATTTACATATGCAGTTTTGCCTCATCACGCATTTAATGAGCAACGTTAGTTATTATAACCTTCAAAAGATGGCGTCACTAGTTATAATCCAGTATATTTACAGGAAGATTTCTGTCTGTTATACTTTTTAACAGCCATAAATATTGTTGATCGCATAAAACGGAGATTTATATATTATAACGTTTAATATATAGGAGTACATTATTAATAATAGATGGCAGCATCTGTATGATACGTCTGGCTCGGTTCAAATCCAATAGACAGGGGTTGTTAGTGATGACGCAGATGTATAAAAAATTTTCATTACTGAATATCTCATTCAACTTAAGCAGGGCCTGATCTAGAAAAGCTGGGGTTGTTCCTCTTCCATTTTATTTAATTAAGAAGGGATTTTTAAATTAACATGAGTAAATTTAATACTTATTTAACTGAAATGATAAATTTAAACTTATTTCAATATTTGTTAACTCTGATTTAAAATCACGAATAGAATATATTGGTAACATTTAGGGGGTCCACAGACATGTAGGAGCCCTATGCCTTAGGATAGATCAGGCACTGATATTAAGTAACTGGTTTGGATTGAAAATAATTGATTTTCAGTTAAATGGGGGGGGAGATGGATTGGCTATTAGTTCCGGTTTTGAAAGATAGTTTGCACTTTATACAAATTACGATTTCTAGATATATTATCATTCAATTCGATGATTTATAATTAAAGAATAGGTATTTTAGAATGTTCTCAATATTTTTTTACCATAAATTAAAATAGGTATTTAATTTGTTATTTTCTGAATTACTTTAACGTATTTAAAATAAAAAGATACTTTAAATGCGAAGCTCTAGAACCTCTTTCAGGTACCAGGTAGTTTCAAGGCACTTAAAATAAGACTTATTTCCTTATGTGTCAAGTTTATTTTAAACGAGCACAGCTGTTTCTAAAATATTAACTCATTTTAACACAAAAACTTCATTATTTTTAAAGTTATAAAGTTAATTGGTTTTTTTTATTACGATTTGCATAATTTATTATTCTTTTTTCATAGAAAATTTTATAATAAATCACACGTAGCTTATCAACTAAACATTTCGTTGAAATTCAAAATTTACTCATAATAACGAATAAAATATCCCCCCCCCCAAGACAGTAAAAAGTTCTATTTATATTTTGAGAAACGGCGTTACAAAATGATTTTAATAAACTAGAGCTTGACATTTCTGTTATACAGTCGGACTTACTGCGGTGCTTGAAGGTTAATGAATAAATGACTAGTTAATGAATAAATGAAGGCAATGACTCGAAAAAACTCAGAAATTTTACCCGTCCCCGAGTCCTCCTTTAAAACTAACCCGTAGCTTCTAAATAAAAATATATTTTCTCTTATTTATTAGAAACATTTATATAAATTGCACAATGAATTAGTTACTACGATTACAAATATTAGGATTATATTATACAGCAATAAAAGAAATACAAGGTTATTAATAGTAACCTAGTATTTCTTTTATGAAATAATTTAAATGACAAAGGTAAGTTATCTGGAATGTCAATTTATCCGAGAGTACTGCGTTTTTTAAATGAATCAAATAGGACGTTTTGCCAGTTCCCCAATCAAGCCAATGATTTACAGAGGTTTCTGCACAGAAATCTGAAAGGGGTTTTCCATTTAGGTAGATGTTCATAATTGCGTTTAACGCTTCTTGTTTAAGACCAGTACGTAATATGTTTTTTTTTGTAAGTTCATTGCTGAAAAGCCCCTTTCAACCGCTGCAGTACTCCCAGACAGAGAAAACATCAATTCCAACACGCACAGTATGTTGCTGTATTTCTAGATTAGAGGGTCATCTTAGACGTGAGGTGCCAGACTCTTGCAAGATAACAAAAATTGAAAATGTATCACGAACATTAACGGAAAAATGGCCGTCCGCGGGGAATTTTTGACAGCCCTGGACGATTTATGAGAACCTTTATATCCACACAATTAGATTTTTCATTAAAATGATTATGAATTTTCAATAACATTAATGTCTTGTATAGCCAGTCATTTAAATATAGCGTGCAGTCATCCATTTAAAAACAGAAACTAAGTTCTATTTATACTACTCAGTATAGCCTTTGAATATTTAAATAAAGCTAGCTCAACCCATCAGTAAAAAAAAATTTTTTTTTAAAGATGAACGCCATTAAAATCGTAACAGAACACACAAGTCTCGTAACCTATCTCATTTTTTACAATTTAAATAAAGATCAATGTTGCTATTTTATCATTCTATTTAGACTCTTAATATAGGTCATTCATTAAAATTCCACGAAAAACGTGTCTCTTCATGTTACCCAATGAGTGCCTGATTATTTCACTAATTCTAGGAAAAAGTTGGGAGATTTTTCAGGAATTGTACACAAATAAGCAACTGATAACTTTTAAGTGGATGAGTTTATCACCATCAGGCCTTTAAATATTAGCTACCCCTATACATAATAGTAAGAAATATAAACTTATTTTAAGAATTGTCAAAAATCGAAAAAATGATCATAGATTAGTTGTAAACAAAACTTTCAGAACTCTTGGTTGTCGATCCAATATTTGGATTGGCAATTTTTCGGAGCAACGGAAATTGTAATTTACTGAGATGTGTACGATATTTACAGAACATTGTTCCAGATAGTACATAGATGCCTGCAAGCTCGAGGTTAGAGCATTTTCCTCTGGAAGTGTGCAGTGGTTGTTGTATTTCTGCCTTTTTGACATCGTGACTCATTGTTTTGCAGACATGAATTTCTCAGTTATGCCGCTATTTTGCAGATATCCACGTCTTTAAATATTGAGAATTATAACAAAATAAAATGCAACTTACTAATTGTGAATTTATGCGGTACTAAATATAAAACATTAATCTACCGAAACATCACTATGCCAAAATCTTAACATCACACAGTCTTACTTCACCTCTGGAAATATAATTTACAAGTTAAATCATTCAACTTAATACAGATATTAATAAAAAAATAATAAACAAGACAGCCAATCAGAATGTGTTTTATTTTAAGAAATGTCATTTCATATTTTTTAAGTAATCAATCATCAACTAAAAATTAAAGGTAATCTATTTTTCGGTAATTTAGTGATCCCAAAACATCAAAGCAGATCTTTCAGTGCAGTTCAACAACATACATTCCAAACTCAGTGAAACTATGAGCAAGCCAAGCAAGGGATCCACTGCGGCTTCTACATATATTTGTACTCAACCGATCCATGCAAAGCTTATTCAAAAATTATTATTATTATTTTTTATTGAATTTAAAACCAAAAAAGATCAATAAAAACTTGCATGGATCGGGTTTCACTGCAGCAGAAATTGCAAATACAGTTCCAGTTCCCGATTGAAATTAAAAAANAAAAAAAAAAAAAAAAAAAAAAGAGGGGGAGGAGATGAAGAGGGGAAAAAAAGAAACAGAACATAAAAGTGTATTTGCAATTTCTTTTTATAAGTATCAGAGGTTTTATAGAGAGAAATAAAGTAGAGAAACAAAAATACATAACATGGTCGGAATTCACCTTTCGTAAGGGAAAAACTTTTTCACAATGCCAAGCAGAATCTTGCAATAAACAGTTTTAAGAACAGGGCACAAAGGTCTCAAATTTTCTTTCAGAGTTCCCATGTTGTGAATTGGCCCCACAAAACTTATCTTTTTCCACTTTTAAACTCGGCACAATTTGAAATATATAACTATTTACATGTCATTGAATAAGTATTTTTCTAGACAAAACAAAGAAAAAAAAAGTGAGAAAGGAAAATGTTCACCTAAAACCTCTGAATGCAATCTTTTCTTCCTTTTTGTTTTTAAAAAAAAAGTGAACATTTGCAAAAACATTTTTATGAGGGAAATGTGTAGAAAAATACTTATTCAACAGAAATTTCAGCTTACAAAAATAGGTGTAGAAAACCTACGGTGAGAGCGAGGACCATCTGGAGAGTGCTCGTAAATTCGAAGCTGTACGTACCTGCCAGCATTATGACTTTCAACACTAAAAAGTTTTTTTTTTTTAACAAGACACGTAGCATAAAAGATTGCAGTACAATATCTTGAAGATAAAACTACACTGCTACTGAGAAATATTCAGCGTATTTTTACACTACAGATATTTCTTAGAGAATTATACAGTTCATTCAATAATACTGCAAATTATTAGAGAGATAATCATTTTCAAAGACTTGCATTCAATCAAAATATACTAGTAGTAACTCAAACGCTTGGTTGCACTGTTAACTAAATAAAAAAATCATTAAAATCTAGAAAATATTTTAAGTGTCATGACTATGATTGGAAAGACAGGATTGCAAGGCGGTACTGCCAAATTATAGCGTAGTTTCCTCATACGACAGAAATGTTTGTGTGTCCTCTTATTTTTAATGCTGCAAAACCATACCACAATGTAAAGAAAATATGGCAGGCATGCAAAGAAAAAGAAACTTGGTGACAAGACTAGTAAAGGGCCATCCAGATGATCCATCTCTCTTTGAAGAAAAACTGTTCTTCAGAACATAACTTGGTGAAATGATGGCATTCCTCAATTCTCGGGGGTAGGGGGTGTATATGTACAAGAATGACACCCATTAACACGTAAAAATCCCATCTGTACAAGATATTTACACAGCTGTGAAAAAAAGAAAACAATCTCTTTGAAATTAAAGATTGACAGGTGCCAAGCCTTTGATTAGTAATTATTTTTTCTCTTTAAAAAGTTTTTTTTTTTTTTTAATTATTATTATTTTAAATTTCCGAAGAAAAGCTCGCACGCAAATTTGTCTCTGGAGCCTTCTTATAGAAGATGTACTTTCTGGCAAAGAATGCACCCAAACAGTAAAAATATCTTCTATTGTGTGCTTTATGAAATGGATGAAGGAAGGCACAGATCCCCAAACTGGATATTTCTTGTGTTGTTGTTTAACTTGTAGGTAATTGGAAAAATAAATAAGTAAAAAATAAATACTGGCAGACTATGCCTCAACAAATCTGTACAGGAGAACTAAAATCTCAAGAGACCACACAGCTGTTGAAATTTTAAAAAATCTGAAAAGAAAAAAAAGAAAATAAATACATACAAAAGCAAATTTACTTCAAGATATTAAAATTTTAAAGATAATAAAAAATTGACAAACTCTGTATGGTAGGAAAAGAAGGCCAGGAAAAAAAATTTATATTCATTATTTATTTTAAATATCTAGATTATACTGAGATTAACTATTCCTTAGAACAATAAAAATACAAATTAAACTTCATTTAAACACAAGTATTTTCGAAGTTAGGTACACTTTAGAAACATTGAAAAACAGTAGATTCAATTTCAGATTATGGGTTTACGACTACTCATGTTCGTTCACCTTCATAGCCTCGTCATTTTGAACCCGATCTAGAAGACAAGGGAACTTCTGGATCGAGTACACAGAGAGGAAAACCATCCAGGTTAGCCTGACAGCGAGGGGGGGGGGCTAACCCGTGATGAGTTTACCACAGAGGATAATTTACGTTAGCACCATCGTTTGTGCAATCTGGGTGCGGAAATCGTATGGACTAGCATTAGACTCGAACCCAGTTCACCTCACTGGAAGGCGATTACTCAATCCCCTGAGCCACCACGCCTTACTTAGCAAGTTTTCACTTTTTTTTTTACTGTCCACAATACGCTGATCCGTTTTTAAGTTAACAATTATGCGTCAAACATGCTTTTGTTACATTATGTAGATTTTCCAATTAATTTTTAGTTTGAAGGCAGGGTGAGTGATTTATCATTAGTGTGCTTTCCTTACATGTAGCCGAGTCATGCTGTTTCCAGCATCAATATGGTTATGGTAATTATTTATTGCAGACTCATTGAGGTCAAGTTTGTTATCATTGATTACATGGAAATTTGTGCAGGCCCCCTTTTTTATAACTTTAACAGCACCTTTCAAAAACATCTCATCAGGATCAATGAGAGAAAGCAAATGCTTTCATCAGTCAACATGTGATATTTTTAAAAAAATATTTTTATAACCATTTAAATATATGTGAAACACAGTAGATCAAGATAAATTTTTTAAAAATAATTTCAACTTCCAACTAAAGTTTACTGCATAACAATAAAGTTGTGAATAAAACTTTAAACGTTTTGTATGCGACTTCCTTCAGTCATACGGACAACACCTAGGCAGTAGTTAATTTTACTCTGAAGTATTTGGGCAGTCACAGATGCGAAGGAGTTCGTCAATTGTTTCCGACTTGGGACGGACATACTTTTTTACACAACCCCATAGATAGAAATCGCAGGGTGTCTGCACCTGCGTATGTTGTTCCCACTTGGAAGTTCTTGATCGTAACGCTGACGAAAATCCTCGCTGCACTGTGATAACAGAATGATGTCTGAATGAGACTGGCAATTTTCACTAATGAACTCACGCAAAGGTTTGACGTTACACCCACATTCTATGTTTATCTTATCGATAAATTACTTTTCATTAAATAATTATAGCTATAAGTAATCACTATTCATTTTGAATGACTCTGTACTGTTTATTTAGACATTAGTATACAAATTGCTCAGAACAGTAGTCATTGCATTATTCATTTTAAAATTATCATGTCCAATCTACTTTAAGAGAAGAAAATTTCATCACGTTTATCGACGATTCGTTTTCTTCAAAAAATCTGGAATGTTTTTAACAGACTACTCGTTCTTCGGAAATATGACCAATTTGCACGATTAAATTTGCCCAAATTAATTTTAAAAAAGGATTTCATTTCAGGAACTTAAAGGAGAGGCTGTGCAATGGATATTCATAATCAAGAGCTTTAACGACTGTGTCCATGAGACTACATAAACAATATAAAAAAGCACAATCAATTAAAAAAGAAAAAAAAACATTTTACAAACCTATGATATTATGAGCATTTATTGGCGGGCTATTCTTTCTGTTTCCGTTTCTTCAAACTGAAATTCGGGAACGTAAAGACTTTTGTCGATAACCTGAAATAATTTGAAAATTTTAATAAAACAGAAAATGAATTGCTGCATGCATTCAGTCTGGCTACTCTTTCCAAGGATAAAATTATCCTTGCCAAGAGTAGAAGCATGATTGGCTAGGTTCAATTTATTCATTATCTGAAGCCATTTTAAATTAAATTTAATACAGTCAAACTTTGATAACACTTGAAATATTACTTACAAAAATTCATAAAGGGTGGCAGTTATGAATAACTTATTTGGAAACTAAAATTCTTATCAGTAAAAAAAAAAAAATCTGGAAAATATATAGTAGTCTAGGCACTAGAGCACAAACAATTGTTAAAGTGATAAACTGTTCTGTCCAGCAATAGAAAATTAGACGTAAGCGACACAAAAATCTAAAATGGATCATTTTATATATTTGGCATTTTTGTACGATATACAAATTGAAATACTTTTTTTCCGAAAGTAAATAGTTTACTCAGTTTTTCAAAATTTTATATATTTAGCATTAGCAATAAAAAAAAGGTATCAAATAACTTCTCAAAATCTAACTTGAAGAACTTACTCATAACTGCTTAAATCAGATAATAGATTGCTGAAAAAAATTCTGATATTTTTTTCTCAGTGAGTAGTTTATTAATGCTTATTTTTTTTAAGCACTGAAGTAACTTATAAGATTTAAGGAGAAAAAATTTCTCTTGCACCAACACATAGAACGTGAAAGAATTAAATTTCGCATCTCCTTCATGGAACTAAAAAATAGAAGGATTTTGAAAAACTTGAAATCCACGGCAATAACTGGAAAGAAAAAAAAAGATTGACGAGAAAATTTTGTGTATCTAAGACAAAATCATGCGAATCAGATGCATGGCAAAAGATGAAACTTAAATATACTTCGAGTGCATATGTTATAATAAATATTGTTAGATGTCATGCATCGAAATGTGTTGAGTGGCCATGTAAAGAATAGTATAGCTTGCCAATTTGGCGAACTCTTCTTATAATGTTGTGTTTATAATTACTTTATTCGTCGTTCGTTAAGGATACGCTATAGTGAGCATCCTATAATAAAAATTTGGATATCAATTAAAAATATATAGTTTGTTCTATGGTGAACGTCCTTTATTAAAACCAATCGTTGAAATTACAGTCCATTCATAGATCGTCATAAACAAATATCTTATTAAAATTATCAAGAAATTAAAAATATGCGAAATCAGTAGAAATAATTGCTGAAAAACTGGTTGAGAAAAAATGATAGAATTATTGTTTAAATTAACATTTCGTGATTCATGCATTGTAATAAATATTGCATGAAATAAAAATGTTGAGATTAAAAAACAAAAAAACAGTAAAATCCTACCTTAGGGATAGGTTTGATTTCAGTTCCTAATTCTTGTTCAATACGATGAAGATTGAATCTATCATCATAAGTTATTAAATTTATGGCAATGCCCAAGTGGCCAAATCTTCCAGATCGGCCAATACGGTGCAAATAGGTTTCAGCCATTTTCGGAAAATCAAAGTTAATCACAACATTCACTGCCTGAATATCTATACCTCTCGTAAAGAGATCTGAAAGAGAATAAATACACTTTTTAGACACTAACCCTTTTTAAAATACATTACTATAATTTAATTTTATATGCAAAAAAGGGAGAAAAAACCACCTGAAGAAGATACATATATATGAGTATGTTTTCAGAAATTGTTAAATTATATATATACATATATACACACACAAAGACAGGGTGGCCACTCAAATCAGATTTCAAATTTCCCTGATTTTTCCAGGTTTTCCAGATAAAAATCTTAAAATTTCCAGGTTTTTGTTTCTTTTTTCTTATAAAGTATAGGATGTGTACAAGAAAAGTGTCTATATTATAAAATATTTTATTCAAAATGTTATTTTTTTAACATATCATCTTGAAAAAAATAATTTATTTTGACAATTTTCAAGATTTTTTATTTATTTTTTAATGTTTTGGCACAAAATTTTGAATCAAAAATCATATATTGACCAACAAAGGAGCCTTTTTTGTTTAAAATTAAAATATGTTATAAGAGGTTAAAATGAAATAGAAAAAATTAGCATTAATGCAACAATTGTAACAATTTGTCGACAAACATTGCTGTTAGTGATTGTAAAAAAATGTGTGATTGGTTGGTTTGCTCAGAAAAAATAATTCACAGATTTCTTTGAATAGGAGTAGAAAAGCTTTCAGAAAAAGAGTGCGATATAAAATCTATTATCATAAAATTATAACCAACTAATTTTTGGAGAATTTTATAAAGTAAAAAATACTAAAATATTTTGTCAAAATAGAGAAAAAAAATAACCACCAAAGCATCGGAACAAACTTGAGCCATAAATGGATTTAGCCCAAGGACAGAATTTAAAAACAGAAGCTAATATCCTAATTCCCTTTTTCCACCAGAATCTTACCTAAATTTTCCTAAATTCCCATAGCGGTCAAAAGTTTGCACATTTGTTTAGCAACCGTGGAAGAATTTTATATGGCATTCTAGTTTAACAGAACTATAATGGAGCAAATTTTGATGCAAGCAAAGTATCGCTAAGTTGATGATATTTCAACTGTTTGGCGATACATTTCCGTTAAAAAAAAGTGGGTATAATGGATGAAATAATTTAAATTAAATTAAGAAAATTAGCAAATAATTTAAATTAGCGAAATTAAAAAAAATCATCAAAGAGAAATTTCCAGTATTTCGTTAAAATTCCCTGATTTTTCCAGGTTTTTATCCAAATTTCCCTGATATTTCCAGGTTTTTTCCAGTATAAAAAAATTCCCTGATAATTCCAGGTTTTCAAGGTTTTCCAGGTGGGTGGCCACCCTGAAAGAAAACAATTTGCATAGCATGTTATGTACAGAGCAACAAATTTTGCTAAGGATAATAATTGTAAACACGTAAAAAATAAATTTAAGGTTTAAAAATACAAACATTATACAGATAACTAATTTTATTAATTTATAATATCAAATAACAATCCAATGAAAAAATAATTTAATATTGAAAGCTCAAAGATCACAAAGCTATCTGAAACCCTGTGTTAGCTTTGTTTGTGTTTGTGCTTTTATAACTCATTTCTAGAGTAAAACAATTTTAAATCAATGGTAATTTAAATAAATAAAAATAATAAAACTAAATATTAAAATCAATAAATAAAATTTCTTTTTCCTGCAAATCCATAAAAAGTTTGATATTAAAATTATATTTGATTTTAAAAGTATAATTATAATTTATTTTTAAATTCAGAAGAATATTAGTGTCCATAACTTTCAAAATTAAAAATAATTAAATAAATAACAATTTTGCAAAAACATTAAGAACATAAGAATATTATTCAATAACATTTTAGGTTACTTTGAATTTTCGATTTCCTAGAAATGTACTTTTAAATCGTTACTTTTTTTGTTTAGTACTTGTACTTTTTACTCGTTATTTTTTAGAAGTAAAATTGGCAATGTAGGTAATGAAGGTATTTAATTCATCAAAGATAGTTAAAAGATTTAATTTAAGGTAGTTCAGAATGAGAAAAAAACTCAGCATTTTAGAACAAAATGAGGCTCGCTTCATGTAATGAAATGTAAATGAGGCTCGCTTCAGTATGTATTAGTAATACATATTTAAATATTCAAGCAAGCAATCATCAGCAAAAATGCTATTCATTAGGGATTTGTTTAGGAAGTTTACACAATTTTAGGGAATTTTCTAAAGTGTTCAAACACCAGAATTTTCGAATCACAGGGTTCGTGATTATTTTGATTTTTCAGGGTGGCCACTCAAAACAGATTTCAAATTTCCCTGATTTTTCCAGGTAAAAATCTTAAAATTTCTAGGTTTGTGTTTTTTTCCTTTTTTCTTATAAAGTGTAGGATATGTACAAGAAAAGTGTCTGTATTATAAAATATCTAATTCAAAATGTCATTTTTTTTAAAACATATCTTGAAAAAAAAATTAATTTCTTTACAAGATATTTTTTTATTATTTTTTAATGTTCTGGTACAACATTAATTTTTAAAAAATTAAGACGTGGAGAAAATAATATGTTTAGCTTGCAGAATATATTGTTTTTATTGAATAATTTTAATTGTTTTTATTGAATTTAATGTGTTACTTTAAGTAGTATTTGCTCAAAGTGTACCTACAAAATCAGAATAACCAATAAAACCTTGGATAAGTATTGTTTAATATATTTTCATTAAGGAAAAGAAAACCGTTTCAGGTGATTATATATCAATAATTTTTAATAATTACAGTGGCTCCCAAAAGTGCTCACTCACTTATAACTTATACTGAAATAGGAAATAAAAATTCAATAATTAAAATGAATATTTCGCAATGGGTATTTGATAATAAGATGTATAATCTATTCTTAGCAAAACTGCACAGAATATTTTAAAAACAATGCAAAAGTTAATTTTTTAATCAAATAGTAACAAAACTGTTACCCCACGAAAGTCATCGTACATTTAAATGTTTTGGATCTCAGAATTAAAATTATCGTCAATTGCTTTTTTTTATTTAATTATTTTTGATTTAATTTTTATTTCTTTATTAGCAATTAAGTATCAAACCTATAATAGCAAAGTTATATTTTAATTTTTGCTTGCTAACTCTGTAATATTTTATTTTATCATTTAAAAATGACTTGTGGTCGTAATAAAATAGACCAAATTTGATTATTTGTCTTCATAAGAGGTAAATCAGTAATGAATATGTTAAATTAGTTTACTGTATTCAATTGAACTGTGCAATATGTGATAAAATGCTTAAAAGAAGGACTTCATATCAGAGATTAAAATTATAAATTTTGTGGAAAAATTCATAAATTTGCAATTGAGTGTTGTAAAAGTTTCTGTAAAAAT